CTAAGTGAATGAATGAATGAAAAACTTAAAAAGAAAGATCTCTGCAGACCAGCAAATTAAGCCAGTGAACCAAACCATGAAGGCCGCTACACAGACCAGACAGTAAAGAGCAAGAAACATCACTGCAGCTGAGGAAGACTTGAATAAGTCTCTGTTTTTGTTGTCACACTGCAGCTCTTCCCACAGATGAAGCTACTTAAGCACAATTACATCACTGCTGAGTCAATGATGGTTCCTATTAAACATGAGCGAATCAGTGAATCACTGCATTAGCAGAAACAAAAGAGAAAGTTTAGCAGCTCCAGCCCGTCTGGCAGTTTACTGTAAACAACTCATTTACTGTGAAGCGCTCACTGCACCAGACACGTACAGATTTACAAAGATTTCCAAAGTCCATCACACAGCTTCTTATGAAAGATGCTACTTCAAAAGGTGTGGACTTCACACTCATCCAGATTTCAGTGAGTTCAGAATGACACAACTTGAGAAGGAAAAATAAGAAACCTCCTAGGAATGGGAACAGGAGTTGGATCTGTGTTTTTTCTGGAAGGGTGGAACGAAGGAGCGGATGGAAGGGGAAAAGCGGCGATCCTGCACACAGCAGCTGTGAACTTGAGAGACGCGGCGCGCTGCCAGCTAAATATCCTGCGCTAATGGTGCAGCTGCCATTAGGCTACGACAGGCTTTTAAATTTAATTGCTTTTAACCAGACACCCTTTCATTTCCACAACAAAGAAAAAGTTACCATCTATCTTGGTCTTAGAGATGCTTAAATATGAAGGATTACTGGGCGGCCGCGGCAGCGCAAAGAGAGAAAGGAAGTGAGGTCAATGATTTAAAACTCTACAAGCCTTAAAGCTCTTAAGACGCCGCGTCTGTGCTCGTCTCTGTGGCCTACGGCGACTGTCTCTGGAGATTTCAGTCTGATCGGCAGCTCAGAAACCCAAGACTCACTAACTTTATCCTTCTTTTTGCATTCCTTTTTAGACAGAAAAGACAGAGAAGCTCCAGAATGTTTGCAAAACTTCAGCTGCTTTGTGTTATTAGATTTATTTAGATTCATTTTAAAATCATTTTTACTTAATTTGAATCAACCTTTCTGTCTGTATCTTAAAATAACCCCTTCAGAAACACTTTTTCCACATAATTTTCTTCCATTTAGGAAACAGTCAAATAGAAAATAACTTTTATAGGCAGAGAAAACAGCATGGATTTAAGTTTTAAAACTGTATAAAAAAACAACAATAACAAAAAAAAAAAAAACAGCTGTGTTCATAAACATTCATAACTAAAATTTACTGCTGCATTAGCATGACTTCTTGCAATCTTAAAGCAATAGGGGGAGGCCCAAACTCTTAGTAAGATTTCAAGTCAAAACTCCAGTTGCACAAATGCTTGTTTCAATATCCTCATTTGAATATCACCATATCTGGCTCTTCTGTCATTCAGTATGTGTTCAATGAACCGTATCTTTTCCATTGACAATAATGGAGGAAAAACCAATAGCTTTTTTTAGCCAAGACTTTGTGCTTTGTGTCTACAGAAATTGACTTCCAGAAATAAACAGCCTATTCACTGGAGAAAACCATGACAACCAACAACAAGCCCCCTAATGAAGAGCCCTGTAAATGTGTAACAGGTTTTTACTGTAGCATTTTTACAGTCTTTTACCGTTAAATTCACGGTCATTTTTTACAGTGTATAGTAATACTATTATTGCCAATTTTACAACAGTTGCCTGATGAAAGAGTTTGGTCTTAAACTTTATGCCCACCCCCACAAAAAGAGTTCAAAGTATCACATCTTTCTGCACATACATCTGCAGCCTATGTGAATGGATAACACATGCTGGAGCTCGAGCGCCTCAGAAACCAGAGTAAAGAACACAGTGTTCTCGACGCCACAAGTCTACCTGCACAAACTCTTCATGCGTCTGCTGGTACACAAGCTGCGTGCATGTGTTAAATGGAGTGCAGACATAAACTTATGCAGCTATTTTGACCTTTCCCTGCTTGAGATGTGTTTTCTCCACTTAGAGAAAGCTAAAGTACCACTTTTTGACCGTTTTTACAGACTGAGATGAAGACAACACCATATGAGTTCAGTTGGGCAATGAGCTATACACTCTTAAAAATAAAGGTGCTTTAAAAGGTTCTTCACAGCGATGCCATAGAAGAACCATTTTTGGTTCTACAAAGACCCATTCAGTCAAAGGTTCTTTAAAGAACCATCTTTCTCTTGCCTTTTTATAATCTGAAGAACCTTATTTCGCCACAAATAACCTTTTGTGAAACAGAAAGGTTCTTCAGATGTTAAAGGTTCTTTATGGAACCATTTAGACAAAAAGGTTCTTCTATGGCATTGTGAAGCACCTTTATTTTTAAGAGTGTAGTAAGAAGAATTTACTATTTTGGTATATTTTGCAGGTCAAAAATGTCTAGGTGGTATAACTGTAGCCTATATAAAAAATAGGGAGAAAAGTCTCAAGAAAAGGCTGACATTTTGGGAAAACAAAAGCACCACAGCAGTTGTTTTACAACAAAAAAAGTTTTTAAAATATAAAATGACTTAAAATAATAACATTTGATAAACCTTTGGTCGCCAGGGTAGCGCGTTACCCATATGCAGGAAGCCATTGTCATGCGACAAAACAAAATAGATGGTTTTCATGTCACATAATCTTCAACATGACTAAAATATCATAATACTGAGGCAAGTTTTTACTGGATGGTTACACCAGTTGACATTTAGAGTCAATGCAGCTGAATGTTTGTAGAATACCAAATATATTGTGTTTAATTTCAAAAGCCTATTACAAACAACATACAAAGCCTACATATCTAAGATCTTGGCACTTGTGTTTTAAACCAGACTTTTCCTCTTTTTCCCCCATCCCTGACATCCTCAGTTATGATTGATTGACACAGAAACAGTGGCAGTCTGAAGTATTACACCAGCCATCAGCCAACATTCTTCACCCGTCACCTCAATCAGATCACAACAAACACCCGCATCATCACCCGCAAACCCGCCCGGGGCTTTTCCGCGAGCGGCGGACTTACAGAGTGTGCGTGTCGGTCGGTAGGTCGGACGCCGCTGGGGCCTGATCCAGTCCGATGTTGGAACAATTAACCACGCACAAGTTTTGCGGTCCCACCGCCGAGCACGAGCAGTTACCCGGACACGGGCTGCACGCTCTCCCGTCTGCCGTGACGCCCGAGCGCGCCTCGAGGCAGCAGAGCGCAAAGAGCAGACTGGAAAATAATCCAAACTTTGGGAGACAGACGCCATGTTTTCGCTTAAACACAATCTGTCCATTTCTACAAGGCATAGCTCACTCGCATCTCATCGCCCCTTCTGTTGGTGAAGTTTTCCTCGGGACGCGGGGAGGAAAGTTCACTCTTTTCCCAGTTTTTCCATAAGAGAAACGGCGCAGAAAGCAAGAATGCGTCGGAAATCGCGTTTTCCCCCAAGTTCGATGACGCCCCCCCCTCTATTCCTCCGTTAACGGAGCTAGATTCACTTCTTCTCCAGAGGAGGGGAGAAAAAACTCTGGATTCTGCTCTGCTAGAATTTCCTGAAGAACTTCCTCTCGTTCTGCCATCCTGCAGCGCCGCTGCTCTCCACTGGATGAGGCTTCGTCTTACAAAACACAAGCTACTGATTATTACAACACAATATATTGCCATAACTTGTTGTTTTAGACTTTATTTATTATTGGCCTATTTTACTGTGCCTGGCATATGCAGTGACCACACAATTTGCCGTTAGGCACACCTACATGCATTGGATGATAATGATATAAAGGCAAGTGGCATGATCAAGTTACTTTTTTAGGGAGTAACGCAATATTGTAATGCATTACTTTTAAAAGTAACTTTCCCCAACACTGTCAAGAGACATCATCCAAATATTGTTCACCAGGTGCTGAACTGTACAACTGTAACATGAAAACCTGATAATTTATTTAAAAAGATATTGCAGTTGTTTTCTTTTTTCCCCTTTCTAGTGTTGGAATATTTGAGCAATATTATTTTGAATTGGTGATGTCTTCAATAGCACTGTTCATTAGTCTTATGTAATATTTCATTCTTTCCAATAAAGGCAGTTCTTTATTGACATCATCATCCAGGAAGTGACATCACTTTTGGTGAGAAAGCAACATTGTTTTATAATAATTTTATATTTACAAAATGTAATTTTAGAGCTGCCAAAGTTAGTGTACACCAAATTTGGTTATTATTTGTTTGTTTTTTTACTCTCACATTCACTAAATTTAATATTTTGTTTGGCTTCCTAAAGACTGGTTAGAAATCAAGACATTAATTAGTTATTTCATATATATTTATTATTTTAATTATAATTTCCAATTGAATTATAGCGTGCCAATCTCACACACTGTCAACGTAATTAAAAGTAAATATTTTCCAGATAATATTTTAACAGTTTGTTTTAGTATAATGACACTGTAAGAGCCAATTATTCAATTTCGGAAACTATTCTTTGATTTAGTTCTCTTAAATTCATATTTTAAGACATTTTGAGACATTTAAAATTTTCCTTACACAGTATAATTGTGGATTTCACACATAAAGATATACAACTGCCTTTATATTTTAGCATCAAAAGTTTGAAAACACTCTGATTAAATTACAGAAATCAGTATGATAATATCAACATTTCAAAAGATTGTTCAAAAAATAGCAAAACGAAAATGACGTCCTCTTTGAACAATGCTAACTTTATCTAAATATTTCCATTCTGTTCATTTTCTTGCTGCTGTTTAAATAATCAAGTCATAATTAATAAAGTTTAAGAATCTGAGCTTGACCAGAGCATTTATGAGAGTCTGATATTCCATTTTCAACACAAGCATATTCATTTTTTAAAAAAGGTTCAGAAGGTAGAAATGTTCCTGACATAACTCTACAGACATGAATAAACTATAAGCTTTATTTCTTATCTTTTCCTCAGAGAAATCTACCAAATATGGCTAATTCATCATTCATGCACATTATTTTGCACTGACCAGAACAAATTTGATCTTTGGCAGAATGTGGATGAATTATTCAGGTCTTGATGGGGTGTGCTGTGTTTAAACTCTAGGGGGAGCCGTAGAAGAAGATCGTCTGTATTAGTCCTGTGTGGACTGGAACAGAACCCAGGATGCAACTAAATATCCAAGTCTTTTCACTCCCTTAAATCACTGAACTGTGTGTGTACAGAACAGGATTGAGCACTAAAAGGTGAACTGACAACTGAATTTAGCTGCAGTGTGTACGCGGCCATAGTCACGTCCGTATCTGCTTGTTACAGCCTCAACTGGTGTCAAATCTGTGCTTTCTACATCAAACTGGAAGAAAGAAAGTCATCTGAGGACATGAGAGGGAGTAAATCTCAACTAAGAAAAGTCTTACCACCCAACTTGTCTGTCTTCACAGAGGTTTTGTCCCCCAGCATACACTGCATTTCAGGAGTGAACGTGCCCATTAGTGCCAGCTGCGAGTCAGTCATCCCAGTGGATGTCATTAAAACACCACAGACGTCTGTGATCCACCCTCAAGATAAAAGAACAAGGCAAACCGAGAGACTCTGTTGCTCAGAAAAGAGAGGTGTGATGAAAGGAGGAAGAGAAAATGGGAGAAGTGATAGGAGAAAAAAGAGCTGAGGAGAAGAACACAGTGAGAGACGGCAACTCACTGTAACTGCAGTTTTGATCATTTCAGACAAACACACAGAAGTGTCACACACACACTCAGGTTTAGTTGATCCAGACTTACCTGTGCTGTTATTTTGAGAGTTCACTACGTTTGCTGACAAATTGTCAATGTAGAAAACGACTAGTTTGTGAATCACATGTGGCCACAATGTGAGGTGTGCATGGTTGCTAAGATACTGAGTGGTTGCTGGGATGTTCCAGGTAGTTGTTAGGGTGTTGCGGATATTGTTAGGGCATTGCTAAGGTGTTGTGGGTAGTTGCTAGGATGTTGCTATGTGGTTACTAGGGTGTTCTGGGGAGTTGCTAGGATATTACTAGGTGTTGGGAAATTCTGGGTAGTTTCTAGGGTGTTGGACTAAGGTGTTCTAAGTGATTTGTAGCACTTTTCTATGTGGTTGCTAGGGTGTTCTGGGTAGTTGCTAGAGCATTGCTAAGGTTTTCAGTTTAGTTGATAGGCTATGTTATTGCTAAGGTGTTGTGGGTATATTCATCAAAGATATATCACGGTTTTCACCAAAATATTCGGCAGCACAACTGTTTTCAACATTGATAATAATCAGAAATGTTTCTTGAGCAGCAAATCATCATATTAGAATGATTTCTGAAGGATCATGTGACACTGAAGACTGGAGTAATGATGCTGAAAATTCAGCTTTGATCACAGGAATAAATTACATTTTACAACATATTTACATAGAAACCAGTTATTTTAAATTGTAATAATATTTCACAATATTACTGTTTTTACTGTATTTTTGATTAAATAAATGCAGCCTTGGTGAGCAGAAGAGACTCAAAAAATCTTACCGACCAAACTTTTGAACAATAATGTCCCTGTTATGGAGAAATAAAACATAGCCTATTAAACCACTGTTTCTCAAATATAAGTACAGAAAAATCCCATTGTATTATCATAACTGTATATGTGTATTTTCAGTACTACATCTTTTAGATGAAGTGGGATGTACACACAACAATGATGTGAAATGAGTTAAACAATTTTTACACTTTCAGAAAAAAAGGTACAAAAGCTGTCACTGCGGCGGTACCCTTTCAAAAAAGAACTAATATGTACTATCTAGGTAATAATATGTACACTTTAGATACTAAAATGCACAATATAGTGGTAAATAAGGTACAATGGTGTACCTTTCAAAACTTTTGTGCCTTTTTTTCTGAGAGTGGTGTATTATATTAACCACCTGATGAAATATTTTGATGAAAAAATGTCTATTATGTATTTTAAAGATTCAATCTTTCAGTTCAGTCATAAGAGTTTTGTATTTCACATGTAGCACAGCGATGATCAAATGCATCTATCGTTCAGCAATTTTTATCCAACAACCTAGAAATAAAAAACAGTTTAAAATTCAAAGGCATCAAAACATACAGCTGAAGCAAAAAAGAAAAAAAAACCCTAAAAATGATTGACTTATCTTTTTTCTCAAAAGTGAGGCAGACTCTACTGAGCATGTGCTGAGTAGCTACTAACTCTAGCTTGACTATGATTGACGAAATTGCAGTCTGTGATTGCCATATGATTCATATACCACGGCATTTACATGTTAGTCAAAGGTATACACTGCAATCATGAAGAATCCAAGCGCATGCATGCTACATTTCCACCAATGGTGAGGCCGTGTAATCTGTCATTATGTGTCTGTAGTGAAAGGGAGCCATCAGACCCTCTTAAACCCTAAACATCAGCCTGTTTATTTCTGCCAGGATTGTGTGAGAAGATCATCTGCATCAGTGCTCATCTTTATAATTCCCTGATTTGGGATCATCGGCTTGAACCCATCACTGACCTCGGTAAAGTCACATAAGAGTTGCAGAGGAATGGGTTATGATAATCAGACAAGCCGGAGGAGGGAAAATGATCTGCGATGTATGTGAGAGCTGCAGTGGTCTCATATTTTCACCAGAAGAAATTTCACATCAAATTGGCACCGCTTGCTGTTCTTTTTGAAAGCACTGGTCTGTATTGAAAGCAATGGAAAGCATTGGTCTCTTTGAAAGCACTGGCTTTCATTTGAAATTTCAAAACTTTGAGTTTGGAGCAGAAACCTCATATTAGATCTCACAGAACGCTTTGAAATGCACCTAAATTAAGGCACCTAAATTACTGCTCGCCAAGCTCTAAATGTGATTAAAATGGCACTGGTGAGTGAATAAGGCAGTTACTTGCTATTAGACTGGAAAAAAAATGATCAGAAACTGTAACATAATGGATTGATTTGTTTTTTTATCTGGCGTAAGGTGCATTAGGATGATCTCCGAGATCAGTGGCTGTCATGAAACAACTTTTACATCACTGAAAAATTGACTATCATAAAGTTTATAATACCTACTACACACACAAAGAAATAGGTTCTTCAGTGGTTCTTTGGGTGGATGAGATGCTAGCATCACTGCCATACAAAGAGCCCATTGTAAGCCCCTGTATAGTTCTTTAAAGGTTCTCTAACTCACTCTAGTCTCTTAGTTTAGCTGGGGAAAGGACTAAAAAATGACATTAAAATACAGTGTATTTCTTGAAGATAACGTGGTGCTCAACCTTTTTGCCCCCAAGGCCCCCTATAAGGAAATATTCCAGGGTCCCCACGCGAGACTTTTTGACCTTAGAAAAGCATAAAAGTGATTCAAAACAGCTTTTGTCATTATAGTAACATCCCATATCAAACATATGAGAGTGGAGTGATATATCTAAAATCTGAGGAGGAGAATGGGGTTACTCTGATGGTTCTACATAGCAACATTTAACATAGGTGTGGTGTAGTGCCTTTCAAAATAGGTGCTATATAGCACTTAAAGTGGTTCCCCTATGATTGCAAGCCAATGAACCATGCACTTTTAGTGCTGTTTAGCACCATTTTTGTTTAGAGTGTATAGTGTTATTTTGGTATAGATAAATTATTATTATTATTATTTCTGTTAATATTTTAAATTAGATTTTATTTTTGTGTTCTGTTTTTATTCCCATTTTAGCAATTAATTTAACGTTTTAGTAATTTTGTTGTGTTTTTGTCATTTTTATTAGCTTTTGTTTTATGAAATATGTCTATGTAGTTTTAATTAAGTTTCATTTGGTTAATGTTAG